CTGCTAGCTTGTAGAAGCAACACTAGATGTAGACCCCTTGAAGGGAAGACGTTAGCGCTATCCAAACTAGCTAGCTATCGCTAGTTTTCATGACAACATGTAACGAGTCGACTTTAAATAGGCTAATACAATGGTAATTACCTATCAATAATACTTTCTATAAACACGTAAATGTTAAGTCCTTTCAAATACTATCACATACTTCAGTTAAATCATATCAAAACAGCTTGGTCCGCTTGCTTACCTGTGCTTGTCTTGCTCCCGCGGCTGAGGAGGAGGAGGCTGTCGGGCCCCTTCAGGCATTTCTGACGGAACAATCACAGCAGAGCAATCGCTCTGATCCACAGGCACGGGCATAGCCGCGGGAAGTAGGGGTGCTGTTGGCGAGTGGTGTACATTTGAAAAACTGAGTGACCACCTAAATACAAATGATTAAACTACATAAAATAGTTATGATTTTACTTAAAATAAAATTAGCTGTATACAGTAGCATATCATAGTCATAGTATATATTTGTATATATCAGGTGGCTTGAATTTATTTTCCAAATAAGTAAAATCCGAGTCATCTAGGTCGTAGGTCTTGGGAGAGTGACGTAATTGACGCGACACACACACTGCAGAGTGACAACTTTCTAGAATGGCGCAAAAAAGGATTTTGGATTTTTTTCTCCAACAAACAACCCAATAAAAAGAGTGGACCACCAGCTACTCCTCAGCCCACCACCTCTACAACTAGAGTAATATATATATATATATATAAATTATCCATTATCTCATTACATTTGCGCATATTTTAACACATTTCAGGAACCGAAATCTGAACTTTGGATAAAGCCAGGTTCAACATTTTCGTTTCATTTTGTAGTCATATTAGCATCTAAGGCTTTCACCGAAGGGATTTTGGATATCTCTCTTTATCACTCCATAAATCAGAAAATATTGTCAACAGCCCTAAAATATCAATTTTCGCCATGTTTCTAGGTATACAATCTTATATAATTCAGGCTATGAATGATATATGAACAAACCCTTCTGTAAAAGCCTTCATAATATTGATAGGAATATAACTGGAAGGTTTGGTGTATGTAAGTGCAACTGAAGTGGAAATTTCGGACTCAGAGTAGGAGAAAAAACTCATTTTGAGAAAACGAACTTTAAAGATTGCAGTGAGGCGCTAGCTAAACCCTCTGTTCTTTGGATGACAGCTTGCGCATCGACGCACTCCGTGAAGGTATTTCATGTTCGGGGTCATTTGTGTTTTGTATAACCTTGCTTCGTTTTTTTCGCCGTTCTTTTGCCATTTTGAGATTTACATTTCTAGTGGAAAGCTAACCAGGAAGTGTTTTAGCACACCACGTGATGCATCTGAACGAATCACCTTGTCAGAAATTGACACCAGCCAATGAGATTTCGTTTCTTGGTTTAAAGACCCCTTTGTGCTTTCACAATTGGTTGCTGATACAAAGGAAATTACCATATTTGGATCCGATGAGATCATTGTGCAGGAGAGACGGAGCTTTTCCAACGATGACATTGTGCAAACAGTGATCGCGGTACTTTATGTTACGTTAGAAATGCTAACTTTTGGTGAATTTAGGAGAAATATACAGATGCAAATAGACAAACTATAGTAAAATGAACACTTAAATGTGTATTTTGTACGTTTTCCTTCCAAAAGCCTGAAAGAAAACATGTTATGGAATCAAAATAGCACAACATCTCAAAATTGACCAGTGCATGAAAAACGATGTTTTTGCCTGCCGTGTCTCGCCTTTAACAAACAATTTATGCGGCTCGTATCGCTGACAGCCGGGCCCGGCCCGGCACCGCCTTTTTAAAAAAAAATTAAACGGCTCCATCCCCACTTTTGGCAGCACCCCCTGAGCAAAATGACTTCCCGCGGCTATGGGCACGGGACTATCCTACTGCGCACACTAGTATGACTTCACTAGCGTTGTTTACACTGGAACTTTTGACAGGGGCACAAAGGCCACTTTGGCCGTGAATTGCATTTTTTTTCACAGGGCATCACGGCCAAAGTGCGGGGCAACGACGGCCATGGCCGTCGTGGCCGTCGTGAAATTCCCACCCTGGTGCAGTTGCTACGGCGACCCTGAGAGTCGGTCTGGTCATGTGTGTGTAACGGCGGCAGGCCTGGCCTCTCTCCAACACAGTCCAAAAACACAAAGAGTGTTCAGCCGAGGGCATCCTGCCGCTGCGGACCGAGGAGAAGTCGATCCAGTGATCCAGGAATGATGCACATCTTTCAGACTTTGTCTTCAGGAATGAGAGGACAGTGCTGATGCTAGTGTTGTGTCATCCATGATGCCACCAGGCGCCTCCTTAACCACAATCACATTAAAGACGTCTGGGAATCTCATAATTACATTTTATTTCCATTGGAAATTGCATTTATTCATTTAATTGTGCAATATTGCTTTGGCGAATTATAGTACTTCTTTATTTAAAAGCAGTTATGGATCCCAGAGGTCTCCTGCTACCGAATGGTGGCCGGCCAAACCACTAAACAAACATTTCAGTTAACATTTAATGTAGAGGGATGCTTTTGAGGGTTTTCCACACTGATGAATAAAATGCAGGGAAAACACAGAATACTTTTTTTTGCAAATAAATGGTGCTTTATTTGAAGATAATAAAGAACATCACATGTTTAAATCACTTGATTTGTAAACAAGTGTCGGCCTAAGACGGATATAACTGTTGCCTTGTGTCATTGAGAACTCTGATCAGTAAGATCCATCTCTGTATAATATTCCAGGATTGATTATTTGCATAAGTCTGTTAACAATGAGATGTATGACAAGATGCAGTCATAATATGAGTACCAGTATGGTGAAATACTAACAGTCAAAAAGTCAAATGTGGAATATTTTTACTCCATTTGAATAGAATTGCCAAGTGAGTAAACAACTAGCAGATACATTGGTTGGACGAGAAAGCATGGTCAGATTCTCCATCCGGTTGCAATTATCCGCGAAGAAGAAGAAACTAAATAGAGTCAATAGTAATAAGACTACAAGTCTACAGCTATGTTAGCAGGCTGTATATCTAGGCACAGCATTGCTTGAGGCACATGCTAACATGCTTACAATGTCGATGCTGGTGTTAAGCAGGAATGTTTACCATGTTCACTGTTTGAGTTTAGCATGTTAGTATGCTAACATTAAGTAAACAAGCTTTGGCTGAAGAGAATGTCATTAGTTTTGCAGGTTCTAAACCAAAGTATTGACACATTTTGTATCAGATGGGGGCGCTCATCGAAGTTAGAGGACCTTATCATATCTAAATGACTTAAGTCTAGTAAATAAAATCTGGATCTGAACTTGAATCTGGATCTGAACTTGTATGAAACTTTGCCAAGGACTGACGTCCCATGCCAATTGGTCGTTGGTCAAGTTGGAGCCATGGTGACCATATGGCGCCCATGTTTTTGCGTTATGTCCTGCACCACCCTAACTTTTTGCCCTGGCATGCTTTGCCACTTCGACATATTGAATCAACAGCAGAACCTGCTGGCAACATCTATAATTCTGATTGTGCGTATTGCATAAGCGAATCAGTGAGCAACTAGAGAAAGAAACAAGAGAAACACTAGCGTCATCATTCAAGACACATACAGAGGCTCTTTTCAGTTTTCATCCTCATCTCATCTGCTTATTATTATACATGAACATTTTCACTGGAATGTAGCTGTAGTGAGACAAACGCTGCTTTATTGAATGTATGAATCCAAATACTGCAGTCGCTTTACCGCACCTTTGTGACGAAAAGGGAGCTGAGCCAGAAGGCAAAGCTCTCTGTCTACCGGGCCATTTTCGTTTCTACCCTCACCTATGGTCATGAAGGATGGGTCATGACCGAAAGAACGAGATGGCGGATACAAGCGGTCGAGATGGGTTTTCTCCGCAGGGTGGCTGGTGTCTCCCTTAGGGATAAGGTGAGAAGTTTGGTCATCAGGGAGGGACTCGGAGTTGAACCGCTCCTCCTTCACGTCGAAAGGAGCCAGTTGAGGTGGTTCGGGCACCTAGTTAGGATGCCACCTGGGCGCCTCCCTAGGGAGGTGTTCCAGGCACGTCCAGCTGGGAAGAGACCAAGGGGTAGACCTAGGACCAGGTGGATGGATTATATCTCTTCGCTGGCCTGGGAGCGCCTTGGGATCCCCCAGTCAGAGCTGGTTGATGTTGCCAGGGAAAATAAAGTTTGGGGCTCTCTGCTGGAACTGCTACCCCCGCGACCCGACCACGGATAAGCGGGAGAAGATGGATGGATGGATGAATCCAAACAGCTCTACACTCTATGTTTCTTTTGTTTGTGGCTTTAGTCACGTTGTGTTCGAATGCGTCTTTTTGGCCAACAGTCAGATACTACTTCTTGGTGTGTGCCTTAAGAGACTTTTATATTTGACGTTAAGAAATATAATTTATTCAATGTACATTTTCTTTAAGAATATAAATAATATCATGCAGGGATCACATTCATATCCCTCTGCGCTTCACTAATCTAAAGTGTTGCTTACAGTTCTATGTGTAAATCTGATTTAAGAGGATTCTTCTGCACTGCAAAGCCACCCTCCAAACCCTCAGCTCAGCTTTTGTTGTTAGAGAATTGGAGCTTACCAGGAACTGTTCCAAGAAATGGGTCTGATCTTGATTATGGGGTATTTAAAGGTCTTCATCCACACTTTATTTGTTGTTGTTGTTGTTGTTGGACGTGAACCACAAGTCGGCAGGCTGTAGCAAATGCGCGGAGAGATGATAGGGTATTTTGAATGGGGTCCATACAGACGGGTAAGAAAATAATAATATGAAATGTATAAATGACCACGAGGAGGCTCAGTATATTTCTGGTGAACCTCCAGACAGTTAAAACAAGCCTGGGATACATTTAAAGTGAAATCTCATAAAAGATAACAGAGCAACTCACCAGCCTCTTGTAAACTGCATCACCCACCGCAAGCCAAGAAAATAATGAGTGTAGTTGAAGGTTTAATAACTCATGTTTGGTATCTTTATTGTTTTTGCAAATATGTTCAGGAACACCCAGCAACGACTGTGAAACAATACGTGCTAGCAAATGGAGTTTCACAGTGTACAACACAATGCCACGTGTCCACAAGTGACAGAGGAGATGAACACCAGACACGGGACAGAAGGGTGAGAAAGAGTGTAAAGGTGAAAGAGAACAGGCTTACAGCTTACAGTTTCACCGTATAACGTATACCTATATACTATGCTTACTCAAATATACTTCTCAACAACAGATAATATCTATATGGTCAGTGTTTATAAAACATTGGCAGCTTTAAGTAACATTTGGCATAAATATGTAACGTTCCAAAGACAAACAGCACTGTGCATTTTTAACATAAGTAATGTGACATCTATAAAGCAGAAAAGTACGGAAGCATGTTGCTGCCATTCAAATTAAAATAAGTATTCGTTTTTGGTCACTTCTCGAGCAGAATTTTCCTAGTTATGTTAAGAAATGTTTCATTATTTTGACAACTTTTAATCTATTGCTACATACCAATTATTTTTTTCACGCTGTAACATGTTTTTTATCTTGCTATATAAATAAATGTTCAGTATTACATAAAATGCTCCATTAGGGCTAAACACGTTTCTTCTTATAACATAATAAGTTGGTATAATGTTGTAAAAAAGAGATATTGCAATCAGTCATTCTAAAAGTGTTTTATGTATTAAAAGTAATTTTTGAGAACTTCCACAAAGCTTATTTTCTAGATGTAGAAAAACGTTCATCACGTTGACATTGGTCATATTGTGGAAGTTCTCAAAAATTACTTTGGTGAACTTATGGATATAGCTGCGCGTAACAGTAGTGGATGAAAATGCATAAATGAATTTTCTTATGCAGATTTTCTGAAAATTCAGTGAAATATATTTAAATATGCACAACATTTAGAATGGAGTACTTGATGGGTGTTGTAGTTTTTTGTATACTTGCAAAGCATTGTTTATTCTAACTTTGTATTATACTGTGCATTGGCCGTCTCATCCCAGGCATTAAATACAACATAACCAAATATAATTTACTCACTGTCAATATTTCAAGTCAAAGCAGGCGACACCGTCCATAATATGGGCATTGCTTTGATTTCTCATTACAACCATGTACCAACTTATGTTATAACAAGCAAAAGTGATAAAGTAAAGACCAAGATCTCATTATCAGAAATATGCAATGTTAAATACAAGCATGATTATGTGTTGTGTCTCACATGGCAACATACATAGGATTCCTTCATGACAACACATGTCAGCAAGCAAAAAGAAAATCTTCTAAACAAATAACTGTAACATCTTTATGCAAATGTGATACATGATTTTTTTTAAAAAGGTTTTATTACAGAGAGCTGTAGCTTAGTGCTTATGTCCTACAGAGGCTGCAGGACAGGCAAAACAAACGTTATCAAGTCGCCTTGTGAGGCAAGATCCAGTTAAAAGCACTTCATAAACGAGGACGCACCTCTCTGTCAGTGCAGACACCTCGGAAAAGTCATAATTTAGTAAATCAAACAAATAAATAGGGCAATAAATAGGCTGAATCACAAGATTACACAACGGGAAGGAAACAAATTGGACCATGATACGAGTGCAAAACAGTGGAATGCAAAACTTGTTTTTTACTTCCAAGATGGAATGCAACATTTGTGGAACCTGGCATCAGAACTCCACATGATTGAACTGGATATGCAGATTCAGTCCCAGGAGACTTATTTGATATTTGAGAAAGTACTGCATATCTTAATATCAGCCTGACCAATCTGAACTCTGTACTCGTAAAAATTAAACACAAAATGATGCAGCTTTATAATGTACATAACAACCTGTCCAAATTCAAGACATAACATTTTGGAACCTTAAAATGTTTCCAGAAAAGGTTAACTCTCGATGATCCTTCTGGCCAGCTGCAACTGAAGAATGTTAAGACAGCCTGTGATAAGACATTATGGTTACACTGTAATTGATATAAAGGATAACCTGTATTGTAACATACTTTGGATATTCGTCAGCAAACTACAACAGTTTATTGTTCATTGTCTCTATCCAACTGAGAAATGAAGTGCTGATTGTTTGTGTAACCACCATGAAGGCAGTAAGACGGTAAGGCATATTTACAAAGTGCAAAAACCTTCTACAATATGTTGAACATTTCTCTTTACCGGGTGGTTACACCATTCAAACTTTTCACAAGGTTTCTAAGTTGAGCAGATAATGACCACAGTTATCAAACTGTATGACTTTGAAGAGCAAAGGTGGATGTTTGGAATGAGTAATTGAATATATCCACAACAGAATCTGTTTAATCCAGCCCATCTGTTTGCAGGGATCGACTGACTGATAGAACTGTATTTGCAGGACTTTGTATTAACCAGGAAAAAATAAATGATCCTTTTCCACTTTTGGAAAAGCTGCGGCAAATGACTCACCAATCAGGTGGATAAATTAAATGTGAGATGCAAAAATAACCATATAACTGCCGATCAGATCCAAAATGTACTTGTCTCTTGTCTCTAATAGCCAGAAGGGGGCAACTTCCCTGCCTATAAAAACAAGTATGAATGTATAGAAGTCTATGAAAATCGACCCTACTTCTCACTTGATTTATTAACTTAGTAATCATTCTCGTTTAAGGTCTATAGTCTCAATCACTAGTTTCAAGTCTTCTTCAACAATGCATGATGTTCACTTTATAAGTGATGGTCACAATAAGGGTATAATAAGACATTTGTTTTAGGGCCGGGCAAGTTGCTCCCATGATGTTGTCCGGTTTGGGTGTTGTCCGTGTTTCTGTCTTACAACTTCAACCCATTTATTGTTTGTTCCGTTAACTGTAACCTTTTTTGGCATTTAAATGTTATTTTAGCGTTTAGTTGTACCTAGCTCACACCCCTTCGTGTGACTGATGGTTCCAGAAAGCCAATATGCCAACAGCCAAAATGGAAAACGTAAGGCTTGAATACCGTAGCAAACAAACCATTGGTTTAACATCACGGGGACAACATCGACTGACATGAGGTATTTCATTTTGGGTATACACAGACATTTCTGGACTGGATAGCATGGATTTATAGAACTAAAAGTTAAGGGGAGAAAAAGTGAGGGAACTCCAGCAGTTCAATGTTCGCGTTGAGTGGACCAAAACCAATCCTAAATCCTTCAAATACCGGTTTAGTGGAGCCCAGTTCTTATATAATTCAGACATTAACTGCACATATCATTCTCAGAGGGACCTGTTAAAGAACTGTGACGCATTGTGAAGCCAGTCAAATATCTTATGGTCAACTCTTCACTACACCACAGTATGTACTTTTCCTACACCTGGGGAAGTAAAGAACAAAACCCTGCCAGATACATGCAATCCCTCAGGAAGGCTCAGATTTAGGATGTATAGATCACATTAAGTCATAATGACATGTCTGTCTTGATACAGAGCCAGTAGGATATTGTGGAATGGTTCAACAGAGAATAGAAATAGAGCATTTTGAGATTTAATTTGGGGGTGAAAAGCAAATCCTCCTTCTCGAGATTAGAGCAAATCTTTTTTACCCCAAAACTGCGAGAGGGAATGAGGGCAGAGCGCAAAGACCATCTGAAGTGAGTTTCACTAAAGCCAGAGAGTTTAGCGAGCAGGAAAAGGCCTGATGTAGAGATTGGAAAAGGCTTTGCCACATGTTTAGATCTGACCAGTACTTCAGAGCTGTTCTGAGATCAAACACAAACCAGGTGTTTCAATGGAATCAAAGCCGTTTCATCTGCAGTTTGTGCTATTGTGTATGTATACAGCCTTGTATGACGATGCATCAACACATAATTAAAGTCAGGCCTGAGGAAACTTCAAAGATTAAAGAGGGGACAGAGAGTATTTGGTCGACCAGAAACATTCACTGACACTCTCAGTCTTGCAGAACGTTAGCAGAACAGGAGCGGTCAACATTGGTGAAAGATCAGTCCAGATGATGGAGGTTTCATCTGGGTGTGTTGGTGTTCCTCTCATGCCAGCAGCTTCTCGGGGTTCTTGGAGAGACTGTGCAGGAGGCTCCTCTGGAAGCCCTCCATGGGTATTTCAGGAACCAGGAACTCCAACAGAAGATCAAATAGGCAGAAGACCAGATGTCTGAGAGAAAATAGCACTAGCAGTCAGCATCTTTTCTTTTGGCTCAGTTGACCATACAGGATTAATTCCAAATAGGATACGTTTTATTAGGATGACGTAATCTATGAGAGTAAAAACTAAGGTGACTTTCATTTTGAAGTTGTTCTTAATTTAGATGTTGTTTTAGATGATTTCAAGTTGAGGAAGGGTTAAATGAATCCTTGCTGATGCAACTCAGCATTCATTTGAACGAGACTTGGTTAGGAGACGCTATGCTATGATAGCTGATGTTAGGCCCTTTGTTTAGACTTGGCGCTCTGTAACCTCTTTGAGTTACAAACTTCCTCTCACTGGACATAATTCAATAAGGCATATACCTGTCTAAATAAGCTGAATTCACATTTAATGATATACATAAATAAGGTCATACGGTTCAGAAGGCTCAACTGACATCTCCCAAGAGCACAATGTGCTCCATAATCAATATCAAATGGAACAAGTTTATAATAAGTACGGTATGAGTTCTTATACCGCTCTCTGTCTTGCAGACACCATGAATGAGAAACCTTAATCAAATACAAATGTAAATGTTTTTTTTATTTAAAACATTATATGGGAAAAGTTACGATTTGTAACTGTTTGGTTTTGTTCATTGCATCCTGATGTCTGTCTGGGTTTGTGTGTAACAAATAAAAACACCACATGACAGTTTGTTTCTACATCTGTAAACCTTTATCCCCTCCAGCTGTTTATTCAACTTTTTGTTGTTTAGTGAATAAATCAGTCCACACTTCATGATTGCGTTTTCCTGTTCTGCTTATTTACAGAAACTGTAAATCATGCTTTGGGGGTTTGTTCTGCTAGATTTGGGATTGACCTTAAACTCAATTTTGTGTTAGAGAATCTACATCATTGACTGAGATAAGAATCTGAGAAGTAGGGGTGCAGAGTGACCACCCAGCGTTTCTTTCCCCTTCTCCATGCATCCCCAAAGCACTGATGCCCTGGGTAAATTTGCCTAAACTGTAAATGGTGATTGGCTGTAATAAAGAGGCCATTGAGTGTATAGTGTAATTAACCTGTTAATGTAGGGGTTTTGAAGAGAGTCCAGCGCAGTCTCCCAGCTCAGTTTGTACTTGTTTGAGCCCAACATGTCAGAGACCAGATCTAAAGACACAAAGACAAAAATGATTATTTATCACAGTGTAACCAGCTGTTTGTTGCCTGCGTCCTTCCCTTGTATAGGGAGGAACTAGTTGTATAGTTAGAATAAAGCAAAACAATTTCTAGAGCACGGCTGATACTTGAGTTTTGAGGCTTATACTGAAATTTGAGAATATTACATATAGTCTACGAAACAGTTTCTTATTTACCTCAAACATGTCTTTCAAGAAAAAGGTTTTTGATCATTATTAGCCTTCAAATACCCGATCATCATAAACAATATCAACGAAATTATCGATAATCTGAAATGGTGCAATAATACTGGCCTTGAAATTAATTGGTCTGGTACTAAAATACAAATGTTTGGGTGTACATGTACCTGGTAGGAGGCTCATCAGACAGTGTAAGGCTTGTTGCCTGGTGCTGTCCTTCTGTTGCTGGCTGCGTTCAAGTTGAGGGGCAGTGGGCAGGGCTCCTCCTGGCCACACAGACTCCTGGATGACCTGCAGGTACACCACCCAATATGCAGTGGCTGTCAGGTTGGCTACGCTCACATCCAGCCATCTGAAATTCACAAACACACAACAGCGGTCCAGAGTTAGAACAGTTGATGAGAAGTGTCTAGAAATGGCCACTTTCGAAGTCAGACATTTTTTTATGGGGTTCAACATCCTTGTTTTATCCAATTTTGGGATATATTTGCATTTTTTTCTCTAAAAATACGATCAGTAGTATTTAAACTTTACTGCAAACGTTATCCATCAGTGCACTTGCTAGAAGGGCATAGTCAGTTCAACCCCTAAAATGATGAACCGTTGTTTGGATCAATCAGCCACCGTTCATTAACATCATTTTTGTTGTAAATAGATTGATAGGCTTTCTCTATATATACCCAACAGTCTTCGTAGTCAATCTGATGACTCGTCAATTTGTTCGATCAGTGCACCCTTAGAAGCTAGCATTTTCAGATGTGCATTTTAAGATGTGTTGCGCTATTCAGTGTTGCTATCAGACTTAACACTGTCCCACAGAAAAAAAGGATTGGTTTTCTGGCAGTTTTTGGACTTATGTCGATGGTAAAAATATATCTTATGAAAACTGCTAATTCAGCCAAGCTCAGGAGGATAATTTCATCTCTTGTATAACCTTTATTCGTAGAAATTGTGTGCAACAGTTAACAGAAAGCCAACCAGTTATGTTAAGAAAACAACAGTAGAAAGTAAATAAAGAGAAGCTCTTGGAGATGAATTACTGGGCCAGCTAGAACGTTAGCGGTTAGCTCTTCAGATACCGCAGGTCACAAACAAGCACAAAGAACTTGTTTACAGTTGGTTAACTTCTTGACTTTAAGGTCACTCAGTCGGTCAGTCAATGTGGTGTGACCTTGCCATTTTGCCTGACCTCACCATTTCTCAATGATCCTGGTCTCAGACCGGCCAATCCCATCAACTTAACCCATGCCTCATTGCATTCCCACGCGGATTTAAAAAAAAAAAAAAATGCATCACAGGGGTCCAGCCTGGCGCAGTCTCACACTGGAAGTGATCTCAAACTGAGGCCATCACCCTCAAGCCTGCTATATAACTGGTGGATTTAAGGTCTTGTGATGAGTACATTCGATAGGCTCTGTGTAGCTCGGAAACGTTGACCCTGTGGTTTTGACCTGACCTTTGTCATGCCAAGATTTACCATCTGGGGGTTGAAAACACAGCCAGTCACAACCCAGACTGGATGAGGAGGTTATTAAAAGCACAAAGTAAAAGCTAAAAACAACATCTCGATGTAGCTCAAGTATTCAAGCATTGTACAGGTCTGGAACATCAATCTGAGGGAGGTACTAGTCATTTGGAATTAGTCAAAATAAAAACAAAGTTTGTATATATAAAATGAGGGTGTTCAAGACCAATACATCTTGAAAAATATCATTTAAAGTATTATAAAAAGATTCATAGGGCTAACGGACCCTAAAAACGTAACACCATGCAGATGCTGTTAAGCAACTATGTCCAAACCTCAGAGCTCTGTTAAAAAAAACAGGGACCTCCCTCTGGTCCTAATGTTCTGCTTCTTTTGCTCACTTCATGTGGTCCCAAATTAAGTTATTTCATTAGCTTGTTCTGGCCAGTTACCACGCTGCTGGGCTACTCTAAGAGAAGGATGGACAAGTTATGCCAGCCAGAATTTTAGGTTTCACTACTTTACACTTTTTTTGTTGTTCCATAGTGTTTTATAACAGCACAAGGGGTGCCAAATATGTAAAGTATTTTCTGATCCTTAAGTTGTTCAACTGCGGCGGAAAAACAGACGCGGGAGACATTTTCTCAGATAATGATGTATTCATTTATGTTCCGGGAAAAACAGATCACAACTTCAGCCCCAACAAACACAAAACAGGCAATTAGCAGGGCTCAGAACTCGTCAGATGTTTAGTCTCATTTGCGACTCAAGCACTCGGTGCACTTGGTGTTTTGATTTTACGGATAAAGAGTTGTTGAGGTAACAGGTCTATGTAAGTGACCACAGGTGGACCAACTATTGGTCATACAGCTAATGCTAACTGGACACTTTCTGTACGATGTGGTCAAATGAAAGTGCTAATGTTATCGATTTGGGATTTCCAAAACAGTTGTAAAAAAAAAAACGTTTTATCAGAAATCATAGGCTGTAAAACTCAAATAGTTCAAACGTTGACTTTAATCAAATGTAATTTGCCAAAAGGTTTCACGTAATTTTTTTAGGTTAGATAAAAGCAAAACACTTATGTTGTACTTAATATTTTTGCTTTTAACTAACCTAATACATGTATGTGGACAAAATAAAAGTAATTAAAGCCAAGTTTCAATTTCTTTGTAAAGATTCTTCAGTCTGTAGCCAGTCAACCACTGAAGCTAAACACTTATTCGAAATGCACAAATATTAGACAGACATGTATTCAAATGAGTTGAGTTTGTGTGGGTTTAAAATAACTTAAAGGGAAACAAATTAGGTTATAAATTCTTCCCTCACACATACACAAACACATTGTTGCAGATTACATGAGTATGTTGTCCACTGAAGTCTAGCCTCAGCCCCAGTAACAGTGTATTTTGGTCGAGGCTGGTTAAAGCTCAGCAGGTGGACAATGAAGATTGTCTGTTCACCAGCTCATACCAGTCAGAGACAAGCTCACTAAATCACTGGGTTATGACTGGCAACTGCAAACAGGAACATATGGAAACAGAGACCTACAGTCACTGACAGCATAATAAAGAGCTGAAGTAGCAAAATATTATTTGGACATTTACAGTTTGTCAGGGATTTAACCGTCTCTTAAGAGCTACAACTGTACATCCTTAAAACACCTGATGGTTACATGGAGTTACAGGAGAAAAGTGTTGATCATTCTTTAATGGGCTTGAAGGGCCAGTGACTGCCACACATTCATTTGAATGTTTTGGATTTGGACCGGAAGCAACTTTTCTAGTTTTACACTTTGGATATCCTTGAACAAAACAAGTCATGGGGCCAATTTTCCTGCATGTAATTGTACACAAATGTTGAGACATCATGCATTTGAGGGTATTCTCCTTAAAGGTTTCCTGCAGTGCAATTGTTGTGGTACCATGATAAAAAAGAAGAAAGAAGGAAAGCTAGAAGTGTACAGCGGGGCAACCAATGCAACCAGTCTGCCATAGTCAAGGTTGATAAAGACTCTGTGTAAAATGAAGACAATGAAAGCAAGTGCAATCACAGCTACACACAGTTTCAATCTGTCAAGACAGAAGATAAACTATCGGAGTAAATCATTGCGCTAATACAGAAAATCAGAGAAATCCGTCTCAACTGAATTGACCCTATCACACAATCGTCACGTAGCAAGCAAACAAGTGGACCTCGAGTTGAGATTGTTTTGTCAGCTGTGGTTTCAAAGGTCAAGAATGAGCTGCAAGCTTAAATTAAATTGTGTTAATCGTACAATGAATGGCAGGGAACATTTACACCTATAAATGGTCTAATAAAAAGGTATCCAATGGAGTTTTAGACTTCTAGTAACCTGTTTAGTTTGTTTAGTGCATGAGGAGGCATTTGCACACACACTTGGGACAAATTCCAGACACTTGCTCACCAACGCAGTGGTCAAGAGGAGGCGTTAACGTGCCAAGGTGTGCAGCAATCTGACAGCAAAGAAGGAGAAGAAGAAGACTGGGAGCTATTTAACATGGATATATCGCACCGGGTTTTGAAATGGTAAATTACGAAGGTACAAGTACATATATGGGCTGATTGACAGATAATTGCAGATTTTGCTCAGAACTGATGTAACATCATTTGAATAAGGATACTTTTTAGGGAATCTTCTACACCTGTAGTTTTTAAATGCCAAACACACTCCCAATATAGCATCTTGCATCACTCGGTGTCTTAGCTACTGTATAAACACATACAATGCAATGTGAAATTAACTTCAAAACTTCCGTCATGCTATGCAAAAAATGATTAGAATTGTCCCGAGTAGAAAACACTTCAAAAAATAAAAACATTACTCTCCAGAAGCTCTTGCTTAACACATGAGAACAATAACTTTGTGTGTGGTTAAATGTGGACAACATGAAAGTGTTTTGAAGACCTTAAAAAAAGAAAGCAAAGCAGATAAAAAATAGTGTTTGGTACCCATAAATTGTGTCTGTGTTAATGGCTGGAATGATGCACTATGTTCCTATAAATAACCCGCTGGTTAAAGACAGAGTGTCCCAATCTAGCTTCACACTTCAGTCTAAATTAACACGCTGACACAGTCTGGTCTGTGATCAGATTTAATTGAGGTCACGCAGTCCGCGGACTGCTCCAAGTTTCCATCGGCTGAGACCCATCAAAACATAATCAAGATAATGAAATAAGAAAATACCAAATTCTAGGCAGGAACACCTGGCAGCAACTTATCAAGGCCAAGCAGAAACTATTTATTATAATACTCATAGTTAAAGATATTAAGATGTTAAGTTAGGATCACAAATGTGCAACCTCTACTGCTGCATAACATTCCCGAGTGATAGCCAAAGCCAAATTGGGAATCAGATCAAATCCCCATTTTTTGGGATCTAAAAGTGGTCACATATAGCTTACTGGCTTACAGCATTTACTGTAAGAGGATCTCATATCGGCCACCAGCAGATCAGAGGAATAGTGTTAAATCATTGGTGCGCGCATGTGCATGCTCCAGCCCGTGCAAATGATCAACAAAGCAGGCAGCCACTCATGGAAAAACAAGTTCCATAGTGCTACTAGAGGTTTAGAACTATGCAGGGTTCATTTAACAGTTATCTGCACTGCTGTAAATCCAAACATTATAGAATCAATTGCTAGTAAGTTACTTTATTTTTTTAAAAGACAGACTCTCCAGGCAGAATGTGAAGTAAAAAAACAGCCAATAAATGAATAAACATGGTTATGGTCTACTGTATGTTAGTGCATTACAGCTCTCACACAGGCCTGTCAGTTATCCTAAATGACCTCCATATGGTTTTTCGCTGCAGGCTTTTGGTTTGAAGTTCTGTTTTAACAGAACCTGAAATGTATGTGAAAAT